CAAATATGATTTTTACGGTATGCTAAATTTTACATATTCACTGGGTTTTAATTTAGCTCATTTTCCAGTCAGCGAAATAAGCAAAATTAAAACCCAGTGAATGATTAATCCTTTTACAGTATTTACTGTTCTATGAAGGCTTTCAGCTGGCAATGTGGTCTTAGTTGGCCACACATTAAACTGTTGATTGTGCATTCATTTTCAGTGGTACAGTGCCTTTAATTTGTCCTGAGCATGATGATAAAAAGATTGACCTGTACTGTGACGACTGTGAGAAGGCAATTTGTACTCACTGTGTTCTCTTTGGTGAACACAAACCACATAATTATATGTCATTGGAAGAGAAGGTAAGGGACACCCAATTGTAATTGTAGTGCAATGATTGTCAACTAGTGGCCATTTTGTTTTAACAAATGTTCTTCCAGAGCCATATCTAAGACATACCTTGACTGCTGATGTCAAAACTTTATATATAATCATACATCATATCACACTTGTGCACATGTATTCGTTTTGTGTCAGATTCAAGATGGCCAACTAGTGGCCATTTTGTTTTAACAAATGCTCTTCCAGAGACATATCTAAGACATACCTTGACTGCTGATGTCAAAACTTTATATATAATCATACATTATATCACACTTGTGCACATGTATTCGTTTTGTGTCAGATTCAAGATGGCCAACTAGTGGCCATTTTGTTTTAACAAATGCTCTTCCAGAGACATATCTAAGACATACCTTGACTGCTGATGTTAAAACTTTATATATAATCATACATCATATCACACTTGTGCGCATACATTCGTTTTGTGTCCGATTCAAGATAAAAAATCATCAAAATCAAACATTTCTGCCTTTCCAGAACCAGATTTTGGTCATGTATTTTTTCCGTTCAAACTTGGTACATATTTGGCAATAAGGGACACTGATTGTTTTCTGATCGGTTTAAAAATAACAGACAAGTGGCAATTTTTTTTTAATGAGCATGTTCAAACTTTATATCATACATCATGTCGCACATGTGTATATTTAAGATGGCCAAATTTCAGTTTTAATGTTTAAAAATTCATAAAAATCAAGCATTTCTGCTATTCCAGGTCTGGATTCCAGTCATGCATAGACAGATTTTGTACAATGAACTTTATAGAATCATAATACTTGTCACTTAGTTTGACAGATCTGACTCAAAATGTCTGACTGGCCATTATGTTTTAGTGAGTGTGGTTTTGGAGCCATATCTGACCTTCTCGGTTAACGTACAAAGTTTATATATCTATTAAAGCAGGGCAGTCGTCACCTACACATGCGTCAAGTGGTCATAGCGTGTCATTGTTTACAAACAATCGTCTACCCATGATCCTTTGCATTCTTTGCGTGTGTTATCATCGCTTGGGACTCAATTCCTGCGTGTGCGCATGTGACAACCCTCCCGCTTTAAACTCTAGAACTCACAGGGACTGTGTATTGCAATTACTTGTTTTCAGAACAAAGAGGTTGCTGTTAACATCGAACCAGCAGTGCAAGTTGCTATGGATACTATAGAAAAGTTGAAATCAGCTGATAAGGTATGATGTTTATTGCGAGTTCCACCAATCATGGCCTTGTAACTATATTGGCCAGTAACTTTTCATAAAACATTTTCTTCACAATGGGATACATTGTCTATGAGGGAAGTTGCCCAGCCCTTTAATGAAAGTCATTTTCAGAATAGCTAATAGCTAATTTGCTGTCAACATTTCAGTGAATACAGGCATGCTTTCCCTATGATAAATTGAAACAACCTTGTTTGTATTTGT